ATCTGACTGGCCCCAGGCATTTAAAGGGGCAGGATACCATATTACAAAGGGGGTGGCGGGAAACAGACAAGTATAATCTCTAGACCAGATCTGCAAAGGGACTTAGGCACTTCACCCCAGATTTAGGCCACTGAGATCCACAAAGCCCCACTTGGCTGCCACCTAAACCTGTAGGCATCCAAACTTCCTTGGTGCCTAAGCTTTTACTGTAAAAGTTCCTCTCTGGGCATGCACACTGCTGCCTCCCTCTAGGCATCCAGACACCTCTCTCCCGCCTGCGATCCACAACCCAGGGGAAGACAGTCGCTCCTCTGCCTGGCTTGCATGCAGGACCTAATCCAGCAGGTGTGCACAGAGGCTGACTAACTCCACACAAAATGCCTAGGGAAGAGGGGATGTTCGGGCAAACATGTGAGGCGAGGCAAGGCGGGGTGCGGTGGGGTGGGGGGGAACTTCTGTTCAAATCCCTTTTCCTCATCAGGTATGGGGGGAATTGAATTGGGGTCTCCTACATGCCAGATAAGTACCCTAACCACTGGGCTAAAGATTATAAAGGCCCGCCACCATCACTGGAAATCCCACCACCACCACCACGACCATTTTATACTCGCAAGAAACAATAGAGTAATTTGCGCATCTTGTGGCAAAGTGTATTGAATGGTGATTGGAGATGCTGCACTAGGACCGGCGAAGCAGTAGCCTCTTTCTCATTTCCAGATAATCAGCACAGATGTTATTTGTGGAGTATGAGGCTTTGATGGATCCGGATCTGGAAAGGAGAGTCACCTGTAATCAACACATTACATGAACGACTTGACAAGCTTGCCACTGAAAAACAATCACGTCCAGTAAAAGCTTAATTCCATATCTATAAGTCCTGATGCTTTCCTTTAGTGTAATCAGTGTTCACCAGCAACTAAAAAACTTTACTCAGAGATTTTTTTTAAATTCTAGAAATACAGGTGCATAGTATTGTGCAAAGAGTTACAGAAGACACAAGCAAATTAACATTAAGGCCTTCAATCCTATAAATGCTTGTGTAGACACTAAACTTTAAGCTCATCTGTAGTTCTGTTGACTTCAGTGACACTATTCAAATGCTTTAAGTTGATCATATTCATAAGTGTTTCCAGGGTCTTAGTCATTTTACTTCTAAGATACCCAGGAGCGGTTCATGAATTCAGTGATCCCTGGATTCTGATGCTGCATATCTGTCACTGACACTGCATGACACCCAGTAATTATAGACTGCTGTCAAACTAGGAACATCCTCCCCAGCCCAGAAGTGAGTGCTTGAACTCCAATGTGTCAGGCAGACAAACATACAGCGCTAGAGCAAAGAAATGAACTTGAATGAAAGTAGGCCAGATCCTGCTCTCCTTTGCACACACTGGAGGGGCTGCATGGGTTGCCCTGCCAATGGAATTGGGTGAGTTTCAGCAATATAGCAGCAGAGAACCTCTTGCACAGCTCCTGTGGATGGAGTCCAAATGCACAATTTAAATGGTAAGGGGCCTATCCCCAGGTGAGGTGCACCAGTGTGCTTCCACTGAAGTCAGAGGAGCTATTCCAATATATACCAGCTGAGGATCTGGACTTAAATGATTCGGTTGTTCCAATTATTCCACCCCATTCTCCTCTTAGTCCCCCAGACAGCACACGTTAAAACTATTTTTTTAAATAAATGGGGAAATTGCATCTCCTCCCTCCCCCTCCCCCCACCACCCAATCTCCTCATAGATCAAAAGAAAAGTGACTGAATTTTGCTCAAACCATATGGCAGAGATCAAACATGGGAAATTTCAGCCCCAGAGGTGAATGATAAGTATTTGAAAACTGGGGCATTATGATAAAAATTGACCTTAGCTTGTAGTGAGAAGGATAAAGTAACCTCTATGATGGGGCCAATCTGTCATCCTCATAGGGAGGAGGGTACAGAAAACCGAGCCATTGTATTTTATTCCAAGTCTTGACAATTGGCAGACAAGATCTGCCAGCCACTCTGCCAATAAATTCACGGATAGGGCACATTTGTAACTGACACTTCATTTTTCTCTGCTTCTTTTATTGACAACCCCTCCAGGACTGAGTAGCAAATTACTCAGATGTTGAAAGATGGAATCGGAAGAGAACAGGCCTAACGCGGTTCGCACAGCCAGTGCAGCCCCAGTGATTTCAGTGAAGGCAGGGCAGAATAGACTTCATGGTTTTATCACCAAAGGGAGAGCTGTGTCTTTTGGACATGCCTAAGCAACGGGCAGTATGTAAGTAGTACCAGCCTAAGAGTATGTCCAAGACATGATTCCTCCCCAGCTCCGCTCTTGCTCCAGGGGAATAGTAAATTACTGCCCACCTCATGCAAATGGCAAGAGATGGGGCCCCTCCCTGCCCCCTTGTAAACCGTGGGGAGTAGTCGGGAAATAGGGGCTGTGCGCTGCACCAGGCTCAAGATTCAGGCAGGGCAAAGGCAGGGATGTTCCCGAATAAGACAAGGGGACAACATAGCCCTAAATAAACAGGGCCAGATTGCATCACTCTTGCTCACACTCCGTAGCATCTTATTCCTCTTTCTAGCTCCCGGAGCTGCTCACTCAGCTAGAGCACAGCCGTTGTATTTTCAGATCAGCCTTATCAGGATGCATGTGTGGGGATGGTGGGGATGGAGGCAGAGGAAAGGCTAGGAAGAGCGTAGCCGGTCATGCGCATGGACCTTGATCCAGCAAAACACTCGGGGCCCGATCCAATGTCAGTAAGAGTCTTTCCAATTACCTCAGTAGGGGCTGGATCGGGCCCTGAGGCATGTACTTTAGCAATGGGATGACTCACGTGCTTTAAGTAAAGCGTGTATTTCAGTGCTTGGCTGGATCAGGCCCTAGTTTTCATCCATTTTGTTTTGTTTTTCAGGAGCGATAGAAATCTATGGCTGCAGATTTTGGGAGCTGAGATCCCCACTGCCGACTCTGCTTTGTTCTGACACTCTGCACCCTCAATGAAAACAAAAACAGCCTTCCCTCAGTAAATCAACCGACTGGCGTCTCATCTGCTCCATAGCCAGTCAGACAACATCAACACAGTGACAAGAGAGGTGTGGTATCCCCCAATTGTCTTGCAGTAATGGGAAAGACGCACATGTGTTGATGTCTAACATCAAAGGCACCTGCTCTATGCAGTGTAGTTGTAGCCGTGCTGGTCCCAGGATATGAGAGAAACAAGGTGGGTGAGATAATGCCTTTTATTGAACCAACTCACCCACCAGTAGAAGCTGGTCCAATAAAAGATATTACCTTGCCCACCTTGGCTCATCAGAGGCATCTGACTGCTCTCACAAACGAGAAATAGGTGTAGACAGGGAGTTTGACTTTTATTCCCATAGGGTAGACCACACCTTAATGGAGAGATTTGCTCATGGGTCTCTTCACCCTCATTCAGGATTCCACTGACTCCCTCCGCTCCTACTTACAGTCACTCACATTCCCTCCCCTACCACTGGCAGTCATAAAAGCTCCCTGTGACAACTGCTGCAGCTGGTGACGTGCAATAAATAAGGACAATATTTTACGTATTTTTAGCTGCCCTTATATGACAATAGAGGAGGTCAGACTAGAGGATCCCAATAGCCCCGTCTGGCCAATGATCTACAAAAGCAGCTGGACACAAGGGGAGAACCAGCTCCCTGAAGAACACTAGCAAATCATCCGTGACACAAGGATCCCAGTTTGGAAGCACCTGGGTTAGCGATAGGATATCAATGTACAGTTGTGTTATTCCTGGTTATATCCTGGTTCTTTATTTGCAATCTTTAGGAATATTCCTGTGCACTTAGAGCACAGTCGTGACTAGTTGGGGATTCCCAGATGGTGTAAAACCAGAAAGGTCAGCTCCACCCCACACACTCTCCTAGAATCAGAGAAACGTTGGGCTGGAAGGGACCTTGATAAGTCACCTATCCAACACCCTGCGCTGAGGCGGAAGCAAGTATGCCTAGATCATCCCTGGCGAATGTTTGTCTAAACTGTCCTTAAAACCTCCACCTCCCAGGATGGAGGTTCCAGTACTTAACTATCCTTCTAGTCAGAAATGTTTCCCTAATATCTAACCTAAATCTCCCTTGCTGCAGATTAAGCCCATTACTTATTGTCTTGCCTTCAATGGATATGGAGAACAATTTGATCACCATCCTTTTGTATAACAGCCCTTAATATATGGGAAGACTGTTATTGGGTGCCCCCTCAGTAGTCTTTTCTCAAGACTCAACATGCCCAGTTTTTTAAAACTTTCCTTAAAAAAGTTTCTGAAACCTTTTGTCATTTTTGTTGCTCTCCTCTGGACTCTTTCCAATGTGCCCACATCTTTCCTAAAGTGCAGCCCCAGAACAGGACCCAGTACTCCAGATGAGGCCTCACCTGTGCCGAGCAGAGCAGAAGCATGACTTCCCGTGTCTTACATATGACACTATTAATACACCCCAGAAGGATATTAGCCTTTTTTGCAGCTTCATCACATTGACGACTCATATTCAATTTGTGATCCACTATAACCCCCAGATCCTTTTCTGCAGTATTACCGCCTAACCCATTATTCCCCATAAAGAGATACCATGATGCAGATTTGAACCACAGTTGCTGTGGCTCCAGTGCAGAGTACTAACTGCTATAAGATCACAATAACCCACCTGGAAGGGACTCCTGAGCAGACCAAGGGAAGGAGGGGCAGTGGCAGGTGTACAGTTTGCTCCAGACACCTCTAGCTGGTGAAATGGCCCCTATGGGACTGTTCTAGCCAATGTAACTTAGAGCAGCCCTCAGACTGCTCGATGTTATGACAAGGGCCATTTCAGTCCCCAGTCATTGTCAAGATCAGTTTTTACAAACACCTTCCCATCCTGTGCTACGTCCTGGGGTAAGCACAGCTCAGCTGGATTTGGGGATCCAGCCCTTTGGTCAAATATTGCTCTGACTTACACAAGTGTAAATCAGGATGAATTCCATTGAAGGGAGTGGATTTACTCTGGGTTTAGACCATCATAGTGGAGAGCAGCTTTTGCCCCATAGTTAGACAGTGGGCTCTTAAATCAGGGGATGTTAATTTAATGAACCACAGACTCGTAAGTGGGGGAATGTCCATCTTTTGCCAGAGTTCTCCATCAGTAGACTCTACCTATGTATGAAATGCTGAGAAACCTAAGTATAAAAGAGGAAGTAGATCCCAACCTCTCCTAACATCAACATTTATTTTCTTTCCCAGTCTGGGAATAGAAGAAACACCTGCGTCCTTCTCCCTCAGACTCAATCCAGCTCCACCACTTTAGTTTGGCTGCCTCTCTGCTTCTGCCCCACTTCCAGTTCTGACACTGAACTACAACGTACATGGATTAGGCTTAGGCACCAGCTCCCTGCTCCCCCTCGGTCTCCGGTGCGTGCGCTGAGCTTGCTCAGCCAGGGTTGATCCTCATGGAACAGTCTGGCACTGCCGCCCTGTGGCCTACCACTTGCACTCCTGTTTCTCTGGGCTGCTGCATTGAAGCACACAGAGTCTCAGTCCCTCCCAGCTGGCTGTAGTCCCTTCCCATCCCGACCCCTCGATGTTTGATCTGGATCTAGGAGTAGTCAGCTTTCTGGAAGCCAGCCAGCACTACTGGAGTATAAAAGGGTACTGACATGTGTATTAAGAGTATTGTTGAGCAGATTATTGTTACATAGAAAATAGGGTCTCCTCTAAACAAATGTAAGAAAAAATACTCACTCACTGTCAGGGTCAGGTGGTTCAGGACATACTATTGCAGTAACCTCTGAATTTGGAGGGAATTTACCTTCCAGCACAAAAACTTCTACTGCGCATGGCTTGCTGCTAGGTCCGGCTCTGACATCTCACTTAAAACTCTTCTTACAGCTAACATGCAAAAATTAAGCATGTTTGCATGCCTTGGCCAGAATCAAACTCAAGTTCTTAAATTTTAATATTGGGAAACCTAAACTGGGTTGAAATACAACAGAATACAACCACTGTCTCGTTCTTGTGACATTCTCAACTATGAAGTTGAGTCCATCGAGTTTCTTTTCTTTTGCACTAGAGAAAACACTATTTTAACCCCTAAATTGGAAGGAATGGCAAATTATATTAAATGAAAACAACTTTTAAGAATTTTAGATAATAAGGAATGTTGAGCATTAAGAAAAACAGTGATTGTGCTGGGGATTTTTGTCACTGTTTCTTTTGCAAGATCTTCGTGCTCTACTATCCCTCTATTCAGAGACACTTTTTGGTAAAATGTTCTTGAAACTGCTGTCTGTGATAATAGACTTTAATTAAAAAGCAAAGGCTTTGTGAAATGTGTGAGCATATCTGGTAGGTGATTACTACTTCAGGGTAGTATGGGCTTGATCCAAAGTCCATTGATATCAGTGAAAAGATTCTCACCGACTCTGATGGGCTTTGGGTCAGGCCCTAAAACCTGCAGTCTGTGGCTAGGTTAATTTGGTGAAATGGAAGGAAAAAAGAAGACTGAACAAACAGGGAGGAAGATTTCAGAGCACAATAAAACTTAAGAGTAACGTTGGAAACCTCCTCAGAGTGCAGCAAATTCTCATTAATGGAGTGCAAGAAAGAAAACTGGAGGAAAAATACCATACGGTGCAGCTTTTTTATATACATATATAATATAAAGTTTTATATTGCAAAGGGCAATAATAAAAATTAAGCAATAAAAACCTAAACAGGTCTTATAAATCAAAACTTAGGAATTAAATAGGAGAGCAGGACTTATAAACTTAATCAGAATAGCATAACTTCAAAGTCTTGGTTCATATAAATCAGTCAACATATCTCAAAGTGCAACCTGAGGATTTATAAACTAAATCTTTCTTCATGAAGTACTTATTAGTCTGATTTATAAATCAACTGTGCTATTTATAAATCTGTTTTATGATGTGCAAATCCATTTCCTGACTTAAAATAGCAGTTGAATGTTGCAGCTAAACCTTTTTGTGCCATATAATGATCTCAAAAGCTTTGTGGTCAGGGTTTACTGGCTGTTTTATAAGTCAGTAGCAATATGCAGTACTCAGTCCAAGATGGAAAGAAATGCGGATGTGAAAAATCCAGCATGTACGGGGGGCTGGAACAATTTGTGTAGCGGGGGCGCTAAGATCCATTGAACCAAACCCTAAACCCTGTAAATAATGGAAACCACTACAAGCCAGGGGGTCCAGCAGCACCCCCAGGACCCCTCGTTCCAGCACCTATGAGCATGTAAGTCTATGGCAAAGCAAGGTTTTTTCATCAGGCAATAATTTAACAAATGCAGCCCACATTTCTGTAAATAAAACTCTGACTTCTCATTAGCCGCACATGAACATATACTAAAATATACATCACAGGAGTCTATCAGAGCAGGCACAAAGGAAAACAAGAGCCTGATTTAAAAGCACAACCTTTCAATATTGTTCTGCTTTTCAACTCTTAACAGGAAGCAGCACATGAGACTGACAGCAGAGGTTGGCTTGAGGTCCCATTGTTCACACAACTTTATGCTTGGGCAACTGTCCACAACTGGCTGGAGGAAAAAAGAGATTGACATAAGGCCTGGACATACTGTAAAAAAGAAACCTCAATAAGATAATCAAGACTCTCAGACCAAACTGCCAAAAAGGAACACAGCAGAGAGACAAACACAACTGACAAGAGGGCTGGATTGAGGGGTACTAAATTCCCCAAATATTTTGACTTCTGTTTAATTAGAAATAAGGGCTGAGGGTGGGTGACCAGATAGCAAGTGTGAAAAATCGGGACACTTTTTTGGGGGGGGGTGAGTGGGGAGGGTATAGTTGCATATATAAGACAAACCCCCAAATATCAGGACAGCCTCGCTAATATCAGGATGTCTGGTCACCCTGACTGAGGGGTGAAGCTAACTCGCAACAGGAGAACATGGAGAAATGCTATGGAACCAATTTTTAAGGAGAATTTTGAGATATTAATTTTAAAAACTGTATGTATTTTTAAGTACATAATGAACCATTTTTATTGGTCTCCCATGTGCCCCAGTTTCACCATCTGTCAATGGGGATAATAATACTGACCTCTTTGTAAAGTATGCTGAGATCTACTGAAGTAAAAGTGCTATGTAAGAGCTAGGGGGTAGGATTTTAATGCAGAATGACAGTAAAGCTTATCAGTTCCCATTGTGCAAAGAAACGATAGAGCTGGTTGAAACTTTTCCACTGAAACTGGGTAGTTTTGTTTGTTTTGTTTGTGTTTTTTTGTCAAAAATTGGGGGTTTGATCAAATAAAAAGGTTTCTGGAAAGTGTCTGATTTCCTCAAAAACTGATTATTTGTCGGAAAATTGAAAACCTCAGAAATGAAATTTTATGTCTGAAAACACTTAGGTTTTCATTTTTTGATGAAAAGTAAAGTAGAAATTTTTCACTGAAAATTTTGACAAAAACAATAATTTTTTGTTTGTTTTCTAGTTAGTTATCGGCTACGTTTTCCATATGGGGAAAAAAGACATTTTCCAACCAACTGCCTTTATTAAATAGGCAGTCCTTCCCTCAGTAAATTTACAGTGTACAAAAAAAACTGAGGCTGAAGATGGCAGGAGAGAGGTGGGAAAATGACATTTGATTAACCTGATTTTTTTTGTTAGTGAAATCATATCAATTTTTACTAAATTTTGTTTTTAAAAAATTGGAAACAAGTTTTGAAAGCTTCAAAATGTCCCATTTGGACATTTTCAGAATGAAACATTTCTACTTTTTGTTTAAAAATTTACTTTATTTTATATTGAAAAATATTAAAATAAAAAGGATACAAATTATTTTTCAGATTTTCATTTCAAGGGAAATTTCAAAATTTTGGAGCTTCAGCCCAATTCAGGATTTCTTTTTTAAATCTTGAAATTTTTTGCAGGACGCAAAATCTATTTTCCAACTAGCTCTACTCAGCACCTGGCAGGATCACGTTTCACATGTTTTAAGTAACAACAGATTCCCCAGACTTCTCTTTTTAGTCTAGATTTTCAGACACTGTATTTTAAAAAAAAAACTCATGCCAGATGCCTATATCTACAATTACAATAAAATTACAAATTAGATAAGATTTTTGAAAAAAATTCTGCTCCACATAGAGAATTGTTATATTCCATTCTGAAGTATTGACATTTTGCATAAGCCTCTTCCCTCAGGTCTTCCATCTTAACATGTTTCACAAGCAAACAAAAGAACATTTTGAATAAGTCTGGATTTTCTTAGGAAAAAACCTTAGTATCATACACAGAACCTAAATAAACAGGGGAACTCTGACTAACACAGCAGCTACACAGTCAGCCCATGGACATGCCATAGCATAGGTAGCAACTACATGTTTTTTTGTTGTTTTTAAGAGGGGAAAACTCAGAGTAGAATTTTCAAAAGTACCCAGCAGTGGGATCATTCTGTTCTCACTGATCTTCCTGGAAGTTAGGCCAACACTGGGCACTTTTGAGAATCCTAGTCTAATTTTGGCAGATCTCTGCCTAAAATGTATGACAAACTAAGAGCCAAATCATTCCCCCCTTCTCGGCGGGGCTGGAGAACTTTCAATTGGTATGAAACTGATCATCTTTCTATGCAGTGATTGCCTGCCTTAGTGAATGTTGTGACTGTAGACATACTTCAGAGGAGGCAAGAAACAGGCCAGACGTTTTAGCTAATATGCCAGCTGGTTTCAAAACACTATGGCAAATAATAAAATCAAAGTTCCAAACCCATTGATCTGTTCAGATACAATATCTCACTCTGCTCCTGACAATTACTTTATGATAGTTTGCTGGACTTCATTATTTTTTATTTATTGTTGATGTTTCTCTGTGCTATTTTTCCTTCCCATTTTCTCGATATATGTAGCTGTTAATTATTCTTTGCTATATTTTAGATGTTACGTTTTTCCAGTATGTCACTGTAAAAAGAAACCCTTCAAAAATGCAACCAGAACAAAGAAAGATCAAGGAACTTACTTATTTAAAAATCAATAGTCAAGTCAGCAAAGATTTGGGATGCTTTGCCCCTGCTTCCCATTTCATGTTTTACAGGACATAAAAAGAACCAGGAATATATTGATTTGCTCATTCATTATGTATGACCAAAAGAAACTTATGAGCCTGCACGAATCTTTCATGTTTTAAAAACCTCTATAATTCTAAACTGTGCATGGAGTGTGATGTAAAAAAATAAGAAGATGCTGTTACCAGATGGAGACAATGAAAAATGTTAAGCAGTGGCATTATTTTTCTATACAAATTTCCCTATTCACAATCTTTAATGACAGTGCTGGAGATCAGTTGCAAAGTTCAGAAATGAATCCAAACTTCTCCAAAGTCCATGAGGGTATGGATCAGCATCCCCGGTTTGGGCATATCCCTGTGAACGAGATCCCACAGCTTGCAGTCAAGCAGCTGCCGGGGCTTGAGGGCTAAGATCCGTTAGCCTGAGGAGTGAATAAACTATTCTTGATGGGACTCTCTGGTAAAACAGTCTAAATCTACAATTAACAGCTACCAAATCTGTTCTGAGGACTTACTGTTTTGTGCATTGGAACGATATTATTGTTATTGTCTAAGGACAAACTATTGACATTGCCTCCCCAAATGGAAGCCTGTCGCCAAGTTTTAGGACACCATACCAACAAAAAAGTGTGCATTGGTGCACATCCACATATGCAGGAAAAAGTTACAGTCCATCTAACTGTCTGCACAGGTGTGTTAATTGCACATGCAAATACTAGTTTGTTCAGTTTTGCAAGCCAATCTCAGTCCCCACCTGAATTTCCAGGCTGCTTGTCTTTCCTAAAAGTCCTACTGAATCCACTCCCCAAATATTTGGGGGGCAGAATGTCTGAAAGGAAGAGATGCTCTGTAACAATGAGAACCAGTGCCACTATTACAAGGACTGCAATCAAGAATTTCCCTTAATTTAGGGCTTGATCCTGAACACTCTGATCTAGCAAAGCCATTAAGCACACGCTTAACTTGAAGCAAGTGAGTAAATCCCATTGACTTCAATGAGGCAATTCACATGCTTCAAGTTAACCATGTGCTTATGTGGTTTGATGGATCAAATCCAGAGTGCCCAGCACCTTGAAGGGCTGATCCCCCATTTCCTACCAAGACTGGAAACATCTGACAGACTCTTCGGAAGTTGCATTCCCAGCTTTCCAATGCTATACCACATCTGTTTCTAGCTCCAGTAGATCATGAGATGTTAGCACTGACAACAGCCTCTCCACCCCCCATGATCTGACAGATTTTGGCTCCAAGATTTACAATAACAAATCACCTGATCTCATATCAGCATGATGTTTACTCCCTCCTCTAGGCCAGCCATACCACATGCAACTACAGCATCCCTCATACCTACCACAATGGTCTGACGAGGCCGCTTCAACTTGATAGTCACGTTAAAATGAGAAAAGAGAAATAGCCCTGTTGGCTCAGACTGGTGATGCATCTAGTCCAGTATCCTCTCTCTGACAGAGGCCAACCTCAGATGTTTCAGAGACGGCTGCTAGAAATATTGCAGTAGACCGCTATGGAGTAACCACCCCAAAGGCCAAGATTCTTTCTAACTTCCCCATTAGGAATTTCTCTTACGCGGGAAGTATGAGAGTTTACAAAATTTGTTGTTGTTGTTGTTTTCTCCACAATTTCAACCCTTACAGTTATAACTCTCTATATTTCTGTTATCCATATAAATATCATCTCCCTTCCTGAACCCTGTCAAGTTCTCGGTCTCAGTGGTATGTTGTGGCAATTAATTCCACAAGCTAATTATGCACTGGGTGAAGCAGTATTTTGCTTGATAAGTTTTAAGTACGTAGCATTTCAGTTTCATTGAAAAGTCTCATTGGTCTTTTCAAATTCTTTTCTCATGAGCGTTTTTCCATAGCTAGTCTTCATTCTGGTGGCCCTTCTCCACACCCCCACTATTTCTTCTATCTCCTTTTTAGACAAGTGATCTGAAATGAACATAATATTCCACTGATATATATCATATTTTCAGTATAATTTTCTATCCTATTCCTTATGCATCCTACCGTTCTTTGGTTTTTTTGACTGCCATTGCACCTATTCCATAAATTATGCCATGATGCTTTTTGTAAAAAATAAACTCTACATCTTCCCAAGTTTTAGAGGCACGCACGCAACCGAGTGTCAACTTTTGCTCATATAGTTTGAAACTCAGCTTAATCATGCCCTGGTTGACAGAAAGAACGAACTTCAGTACCGCAGATGGTTATCAAAGGATGATTCATTTGTGTGTACAAAAGCACAAACACAGCTCACAGAGACCTTACGCGTCATGCATAAAAGAGACTGAACACAAAATAACTAATAATGTTGACGCAGATCAATGGGACCACTACATTAAAGGATAAAAGAGAGGTATTTGAATAAAGCTTAGACAAAAAGAATAGCTAGAATAGACTAACCCAGCAGGGAAAGAGGGAACAATTGGCCACCCAGAACGGTTATTAATGCCAAATTTTTCAGTCCAGTAACAAGAAGTAAATTTATTACCAGTGGAGGAAGATACACAGGAAATAGCCAGCTGCTGGAAGCCACTCATTGTGTAGCTCAGTCCGTTGTCATGGGTATCAAGGAAGACACGGAAGCAGAGCCACCTGTGCTACTTAATCTTCCTGGCGGAGTATTTTAAAACTTTAAGCCAACAGCCGGCACATGGGGTAAGAGCAAAAACTAGGACAGGATTGAACTCCCAGCTCCGTCCAATCAAGTGAAGAACTTCAATACTGCCTCATCCTTGAGTTTGTTAGAATATTTGGAACCAGCAAGACATGTGTACTTTACACAGCCATATTGACATCACTGATACCCGTGGAATTGCATCATGGATGAAAAATGGCCCATTATTCTGCTTCCGTCTGAATCCATCTGTCATGGGATTATATGGATCTAAAACTCTAGCTGGAATTGGACACTCCACATCAGACTGTTGTTACAGCAAACGCAGACTTTGACAGAGCTATACAGATTTACACCAGCTGAGGCTCTGCCAATGTTTTACGAGGGATCTGTCATTAGTCTAGCATGCACCAAAGAGAGTGCCTGAAAATATTGCTATAGAAGTTCAGCATAAGAGTGCAACATGTTGAGCGTCAGACATGGCTGGAGCTCAGATGCCAGCAGGCAATTAAAGATAGCAGATAGGATAGGAATAAGAACACAGTACAGCAGAGACAGAATGAGACCTTTGTGGGACACGGATTATCCCACCGCTGCCTCCTGCGGGGCTTTGACATCTTCCTCTGGACCACCTAGGACTGGCCATGGGTCACAGACTAGATGGGTCTGGGGTTGGAGCCAGTCTGCAAATTCCTACTGCGTTAGAGTTTGCTAAATTGCATTTTAGTACTTCTTTATTAGTTGCAGTAGATTTGAGGAGGCGGCTTGTTTGTTTGCTTCTTTGAAGAGTCACTGATTTGACTTACATCCTGCTCATTGGTTTATCCATTTCATGGTTGTGCTGCTGAATTCATATTCTACTGCAGTGACCCCGATAAACAAAGAATGGTGTTTTTGTGTAAAAAAGGCTTAAATTAGGAACGGCGGGGGAAGGGAGGCAATACAATGAGTCACCATGAGCATTCCCCTCCTGCCTCAAAACAAACCCAATCCGAACCTTTTCAGAGCTTCAGGAGAGTTGAAT